AAAAAAAAAGAAGTAATTGCTAGTTTGTTTCGAGTGTCTCCACCTTATCGCTTAACAAAAAAAAAAAAAAAAAAAAAAAAAAAAAAAAAAAAAAAAAAAAAAAAACTAAAATTCATCGGAGAAACCTAGTTAAGTTGGTCAAAGTGTTAACTTAGTAATCACAATGTTATAAATTTGACTCACATCAGTAACAGTTTATTGACGTTTTTGGTTTACCTCCTTATCTTTATCAGCTAAGATCACAAGATAATATTGACCCAATTCACGCCCTTAAGTAATAATTGCATGTTTTTCTCGTTAAGCGTCACGCACACACTAAAAAATAACAAAAAAAAAAAAAAAAACTCATTGTAATATAGGAGTAATTAATAACTGAATCCCATGTCTCAATCCTTATACCAAGGACCAGGGTTCATAGCATTATGAACCCTAATGCATGTGTATGTGTCTTATATTGTGAGTTTTGTGTCATGTGTTATGAAATTTTGTATTTTAAGAATATGAATTTTGTACCTAAAATAAATTAGTAATTGTGTTTTAATTTATGTTATGAATTTCTATGTTTTTTGTTTTGAAATTCTATGAATATGAACACAAATTATATACCTAAATCATATTTGAAAAATAATAAATATATAACATGTGTATGTGTCTTGTATTGTAATTTTTTGTGTTTTATGTTATCAAATTCTGTATCTTACAAGTATGAATTTTGTATCTCGTTGTTTCAATTCAAGATCCATAATGCTATGTACACTCTGATCCATGATATAAATTGCTCCTATGTCTGGCAAATTATTGTGTGGACTACAGTCCAAAACGACGTCGTTTTGATGTTAAAAAGATTCCATGCCCCGCACGCATGTTAGAATTATGAACATTTTATGGTGATAAAGTTAAATCCCGACCGTCAGTGGTCGATTGTACTCGTAGAATGTATGTATTGTAAGTAATATGTATGAACAAGAGAGAAATAGCTCAAAGGGCATTTTATTCATGTTTTGATCTTTGCAACTCTAGAGAGAATAGAGATAATCATGTCTAGAGAGAGAGTGGAGAGAGTGGAAAAAAAACCCCGTTATTAAGGGGTGGGGTGCCTTTATATAGGCACCTAACCCGTACCCAATACCGTACACGTGTACAAACTACGTAGGGTGGTATACCCGGGGTATATTCCCTATCAACTAGCTGCCCCAGTCCGTTCCCTAACGTCGAGCTGACAAGGAAGGGTTCGGGCTGAGAGATTCGAGTACACGGTCCAGGACGAGCTCCTTGAGTCCGAATTGAGCACAGGGGCGCGATTTACACCGATTGCCTCATTAAAAACCTTAAACTAAGAAAAACCCAGCGGGAAAAAAATGTAGCTAAGGAAAAAGAGTACAACCACAAGTGCAATCTTTTGGGGCATTGGGCTTACTCACAATCTTGGGATTGAAAACTCCGACTACATAGTCTGTGACTTACGCAGGTTGCCTTGTTAAAAACCTTAGGCTAAGAAAAAACTCAATGGAAAAAAATTTTAGCCTAGGAAAAAAAAAAAGAGCACAACCATATGCACAGTCTTTCGGACTATAAGGGGCTGTCCGGATTCTACCGATCTAGAGATCGGGTTTGCGACACGATCTGAGGATCAAACGTTGCTAGTCAGGAGATTCCTCCCTTGATCTCACCGATCGCGTTTGGTTAGTTTGATTGCCACATTAGAAAGTATGGCAGGTTTTGACAACCATAATTGTTCGAACGGGGTGTTTTCCCCTTGTAAGCTCGGTTTATGAACCAAGAGTCCCAAATGGAGGGACACTTGGAAACCCGAAGGTCCAACGATAACAAGATCGGGACGTTCATCATTCTTAGGAAGTGCGTTATGGTGTGCTATAGTCACCAAGTGCACTATGCTCGAAAAGCTCATTTATGGTCGGAAAATGCACTAGTGAGCTCCGTAGGCCAAGGGGGTTGCCCTATATACCTGGAAATATGCTCGGGAAGTGACCCGAATGGGTTCACGGAACTGGTGTTCGGGACACCAACCCGACCATACTCATGGCAACGGCGATCAATTTGCCAACTTTGCAGAGCTTTGGAGACTACGAGGTATGAACATATCGATCAAGAGATCGAACCTCGATGCAATGAAGAGATTAAACGCTGCCGATCAAGCGATCGGACTTTCGATCGCGATCTGGTGATTAAACTTACCAATCAAGAGATTGGATTTATCCGAGGTGAGAAAATCGACCTAGCGGGCTCAATTGCCTACTTTGTAGGGCTTATGCGGATCAAAGGATCGAATCTCGACATGATAAAGAGATTGAATGGTACCAATCAAGTGATCGGTCTTTCTAGCACGCTCTAGCGATCAAACTTACCAATCAAGAGATTGGGTTTACCTGAGGCGGGAAGATCGACCCAACGGGCTCAATTGCCTACTAAGTAGGGCTTATGCCGAGATATGATCCTGGGCCTGCAGTGCCAGTGGTGGCATCATCGCTGAGAAGCGGGAAAGATTCATCGCTGAAAAGCGGGATAGATACATCGCTGAGAAGCGGCGTCGCTAAGAAGCGATATAGATACATCGCTGAAGAGCGGCATCGCTAAGAAGCGGTACAGATACATTGCTGAAGAGCGACATCGCTAAGAAGCGGTACAGATACATCGCTGAAGAGTGGCATCGCTAAGAAGCGGTATAGATACATCGCTCAAAAGCGCCATCACTAAGAAGCGGTATAGATACATCGCTGAAGAGCGACATCGCTAAGAAGCGATATAGTCGCTAAAGAGCGGCTTCGCTAAGAAGCGGTATAGATACATCGCTAAAGAGCGGCATCGCTAAAAAGCGGTATAGATACATCGATGAAGTGCGGCATCGCTAAGAGGCGAGACTGACCGGTCTAACCGGACTCATAGCGCCGGTGGTGGCAATGCCGACCTAACCGGACTTAACAGCCTACTCCGTAGGTCTTATACCGAGATAAACTCTCGGGCTTAAAGGGCCGGTGGTGGTAATATCGACCTAACCGGGCTTAATACACGACTATTCAATATACATGATGATGTACAACTTACAAAGCAAATTTAAAAGTTTACAAGCTTTAAAAATTTTGCTTTTCTTGATCACAGATTCAATCGGGCGATCTCGAGCACGTACTGATGGAGCGCGACACAGTTTCTATCTTTGAAACTCCTCAGTTGGTCGTAATGCTTCGCCAATATCCGAAGATCGTAGTTGTTCCCATCATTTCGGTCGTAACCGATCTTAAAGATAGTAAATGGGCACCTTACTCCCATTGCCCTATAACCGGGCAAAATAAACGGGAACCTTACTCCCGTGGCCCTATAACCAGGCAAATCGGTCCGAGGACCTATAACGGGCACCTTACTTCGTAATGGGCACCTTACTCCCACAAATCAAACGGTACGAGGACCGTAAACGGGCACGCTCCTCCCGTTGTGGGCACCTTACTCCCCCAAATCGGTCCGAAGACCGTGACCGGGCACGCTACTCCCGTAAATCAAAATGGTATGAGGACCGTAAACGGGCACGCTCCTCCCGCAGTGGGTACACTACTCCCACAAATCAAACAGTACGAGGACCGTAAACGGGCACGCTCCTCCCGCAGTGGGCACGCTACTCCCACAAATCGGTCTGAAGACCGTGACCGGGCATGCTACTCCCGTAAATCAAAATGGTACGAGGACCGTAAACGGGCACGCTCCTCCCGCAGGGGGCACGCTACTCCCACAAATCAAACGGTACAAGGATCGTAAACAGGCACGCTCCTCCCGTATTGGGCACGCTACTCCCACAAATTAGACGGTACGAGGACCGTAAACGGGCACGCTCCTCCAGCAGTGGGCACGCTACTCCCACAAATCAAACGGTTCGAGGCCCGTGAGCGGGCACGCTATTCCCACATCCGGGTTTTTAACTGGTTAAAATTGCCTACAACGTAGGACTTATGCCGAGATTTAATCCCGGACTTACAATGCGGTGGTGGATGAACCGACCTAACCGGACTTAGATACATGAGTTGTGCCGAGATTTAATCCCGGACTTACAATGCCAGTGGTGGATGAACCGACCTAACCGGACTTAGATACATGAGTTATGCCGAAATTTAATCCCGGTCTTACAAAATATAAAGCTAGATACGAAGCTATGAGCTTATGACCAATCGTTATACCCTACACCACGGCGCGCGTAGCACTGTGCGCCGCGTGCCTCCCAAAACGACGTCGTTTTGGGGTCTTTTTGGAAGGCGCGGTAGGAAGTTGCTGTGATTATGTGTATTTGTTCACACAATTATGTGTATTTGTTCATACAGTTATGTAAATTTTTTATACAATTATGTACATTCTTTTTATACAATTATGTACATCCGAATCAGAAAATTTGTGTGTATTATGTTAAGAGTTGATGTGTATTATGTTAAAAGTTTATGTTTATTATGTATTATGTTAGATTATGTGTATTATCTTTTAAAAAGAGTATGTATATTTTGTTATATAATTATGTACATTCATGTTTACAATTATGTGTATTCTAGTATAACATTATGCACATTTTTGAACAACGGGTTTTTTTTAAAGAAAAAACTACTGCCATTCACTGGGGCGGGAAATTTCAAAAAAAAAAAAAAAAAAAAAAATTAAAACGACGTCGTTTTGCATCTCGGTACACAGTGCAACGCGCGTCGTGGTGTAGGATATAAATTGCCGCTTATGACTAATACAATTTATAAATCCATGAAAGGATTATATAGCCCAAAAACTAATCTCTAATATGTGGGCCCATAGACCACACACGGCCCAAATCTATATACATATAAAGGCCATAGGATTTTGGCCAATCAAATCCTTCCATTTTCCCGCCTAAATTACACGACACCGTTTAAGTGTTTTTTTTTTGTTTTTTTTTTTTTTCAAATCCATTCAATTTCCCGCCTATTTGAAAATTTTAATTTACTGATTTGGTATTGACGTATGATTTTAGGCCTGCTGTTTAGGGGTGTGGGCTATTGTGGAGTTAGTATTCTAATGGGTTTCTAGATAGGAAACGTGTGGTTTAAGTCTAATGGGTATGGGAGTGATGTAAATTGCAGTGCATAGGTAATATTTTAATATTTTTGCAATTGTCCGACTCTAAGTTTACTGGTTATATATAGCTACACATTCAGGCCTCAAAGCAAAGCAAAGCAAAATATTACAAGTTTCTTTCATCTGTGCTATCACAAAACGAAGCAAAATATTACAACTTTCAGCTTTCAAAAACCAACATGACTGGGCAGTTCATAGTTGGTGCCCAGCTTCACCCGCAACAGACTTCTAAGGCCATTAGATTGCGTTGTGTGCGGAGCTATGTTGTCACTGAAAACAGAGGACAAAAACAAATTAGAAGTCAAGAGTGTGTGTTTCATGATCAAGAGGTGTGCTATTCCTAGATTACTATCTTCTAATTTTATTGTCTATTGCTAACTGTTTATAAGTACTTATGATATTTTCTTTGTGTCTTGAATATAGGGTATTTTTATTCATGTTCACATACCTAAGGATATTGTTGCAACATACCAGAATATGTTCAAGGAGGGTAAAGTCTATGGTATTCGAAATTTCCTATGTATCACTAACTTTTTCAAGTATAAAACAAGCACACATCGTTATATGATCAAATTCAAACATGACACTGTTGTGAAGCAATATCAGCGTGTGAATTTCCCTAAAACAATGTTCCGGTTTAAGAGTTTCCCGGACATACTTTCAAAGAAGAATGTTGATGAGAAAGTGTTGATCGGTAAGAGTTTAACTGGATGCATACATATATAATACTCAAATGAAGGAATGCTACTTTGATTATGTTTTCAACCATAGCCATCAAAACTAATATTCTGCTGTTATTTTATGTAGAGGTGATTGGCCGAGTTGTTGAAATTTATACACCACTAGACAAAGTGATAGCTGGAAAATAAACAAGGCTTATTGACTTTGTTCTTGAAGACAATGAGTAATTTTTTTTTGGCTTGGCTATGCTGATGTAAATCTTATTATTAATTCTGTTGGGTATTTAAATTGGTTTTTGTTTTATGCAGTAAAAATCAGATTAAGTGTACATTATGGGATGAGCATGTGGATCAACTAACTCCTTATTTCCAAATTGTTGCATCTGATCCAGTTATACTTCTCATTCAACTTTGTAGGGCCAAGTTTATGGACAGTAAGTTCTAATCCATGATGGGTGTGCTTTCTATTTCAAATAATATCCTATCTCCTAATGAGAAAATTTTTTTCTGGTTAGATGGCGAGGTTCGTATTTGCAGCTCCTTTGATGCTACCCAACTATTTTTTACTCATTCGTCTAAGGAGTTCCGTGACTTCAAGAATAGGTGTGTTTCTATTTTATGGTGTTTGTTCAACTTTTTAAATCAAAATGGATGTGAAAGTATTTACTTTTTTATTTTTAATAGCTTTACAGGTGACTACACCCCTTTGAGGTGTATAGAATCTGGTTCTAGGCTTGATGTTGGTTTCCCTACTAATGGCCTGCATCCTAATGATATTTTGGTTACTCCTATTGAAGATATTTACTTGAAAAAACAGGTTAATATGCTACAATGTTTCATAATTATTTATGTTTGTCTACTAATTTTTTTGTGTTTTCTATGTACTTATAAATTCTAAGCATAAAAGAGATGACCTAGATATTTTTTTTTTTGTGCACCAGTTGGGGGAGTATTGGGTTGCAGGCAGAATTGTTGGCGTAGAGAGTATAAGTGATTGGTATTTCATTTCTTGCAAGACTAATTCTTGCAAGAAGAAGCTTGCTGAACAAGGTGGCATGATGTACTGTGGTGGGTGTAAGAATTCTTGGCATGAAGGAATTGTGAGGTATAGGTTGATTGTCCGTGTGGCGGACCACACTGGAGATGCCCCTATGCTGATATTGGATCGTGAATGTGCAGATTTGGTTGGTATGTCAGCGGCTGAGTTAAAGGCTAAGTACCCTGAGGTATACTATACTATTTCACTTCTTTATTGGGTGTTTAGTGGTTGGTTTTTGATGTCTTATCTGTTCTCAAATATTTCTAGGGAAATAATTGTATTCCACCTGAACTTGGTCGCTTGCGTGGGATGTCTATGGTTTTCCGTATTGTTATGAAGAAGGAACAGGTGGAGAGCTACTATTCTGCCTTTACGGTTCTAAGGATTTGCAGGGATGAGCCATTAGTTACACAACACTGCTCAGGTTTTCTAGGTGCCCCTTCTGCTGAAATGGTTCCAGGTCATGTCGGAGGTTCTTTGGATGTTGGATGTAACTCTGAGGTATACTTATTATTCTATTTTTGGGTTTATAAGTGGTTCTAAGTAGGTTATTGACTGGTCAGAACTATTTTTATGCAGCAACAGTTTGGCAGTGATGAAGAGGAGTTTTTTGGAGTGGAGGATGTCTCTGATGGTGTGGAAGATGATATCACTGTTGGTTTGGATGACATTTCTGAAGATTTAGGGGATGAGCATGCTGCTGATGCTGTTAAGGGATCTATGATCAAAGATTTGGTTACTGCTGGTGGTTCTAACAAAACTAAGGATAAGGGTGTTGCTGATTTGGAAAGTGAACATGTGGGTGTTCCTCTTAAGAGATCTCTGCTGAAAGAGTTTGGTATGTCTGGTAGCATAAAGAAAGCTAAGGAGGTGGTGGTGAAGCAGGAAAAGTAATGGAAATTTCTTTATTTAGAAATAGGTTGTACTAATACTAAGCTGGTAAGTGGGTTTTGTGTGCTAAATTCTACCAAACTGATGGTTATGCCTAGAAAACTGCAGCTTTTTGTAATGTACTGTTAGCCAGTGGATTGTGTCATTGTGTGTAGTGTGTTTTTGCCTATGGGTTTGTTTTTTGAACACTGTAGGTGTTTCAGTGTACTGGTAAGCAGTACAATGTATGTAGTGTGTGTTTTGGAAGGCAATGTGTGTAAAACTGCATATGTTGCAGTTGCTAATCTATTTTAAATGTAATGACAGGTTGCTCTAATTGCAAACCAGCCACTAATGGATTTTGGTTCTTATTCTGTTCAAGTATAAGTATATATTGCTTACCCAAATATTACAAATAAACCTATTATTAATCAAAGTATAATATAAAATAATATAGAAATCCAAATCATTAAAAAAAAAAACAGTTAGAGCATATTATAGCAACAAATTAAATCATATTAATCTATAATTTCACAAAGTTTATTATAGCAAGCCCAAAAAAATTGCAGCATACTGATAGTTTCCTGGTAAATGAGATAAAAAAGAAAGGGGAAAATTACAAAAGGTATAGCAAATTAGGAGGTTGATTTTTGAGTAAATACATATCACTTGCATATTTATTGCAAAGAAATATATTATTCCTTAAGTGAAATAATTGGAACCCATTCAAAAAAAAAAAAAGTATCAAAAAATTAATATTTGAGAAATGACAAAGAAATTGATAGTGGCCATGGTAAATCATACACAAAAAGGGCAAAAATAAAATAAAATTAATAGATTAGCAGGCTGATCATTAAAGAAAAGGATCTCCCATGCACATGTATTCCAGATAAATATGTTATTTTACAAACTCAATTATAGCAACTAAAAAAAAAGAAGCATCAGACTCCTTTGATTTTAGATTGTTAGTATTTGTTCATATATATGTATAAAAAGTATTTCAACTACTTATCTATTCCAAATTAACCTATTATTAAACAAACTTTAATATACCAAAAAAAAAAAAAAAAAAAAAAGCAGTTATATCATATATTAGCAGGCTCATATTTGAGGTAAAGGACTTGCATATGTATTGCAAATAAATCTATTATTTCACAAACATCATGTATGAATATTTTTTTTTTTAAAGAGTGGCATCATACTGAGAATTGAGAAATGACAAACAAATTCAGACAGGCCCTGGTAAATCATTTTTAAAAAGGGAAAAAAAAAAGACAAAGCAGATTAGCAGGTTGATTTTTGAGAAAAAGGATATCAATTGCATATATATTGCAAATAATTATATTTTTCCACAAATATATTTAAAGTAACAAAATTACAAATATATATATATATATATATGGCAACAGATAGCAATTTGAGAAGTGAGAAACAAATTGACAATGCGATGGTACAAATTACACAATACTCAAGACATACATGTAGGAATACTTTTCTCATACACCTATACCTATACCTAAGCATTTAATGTGAATGGTAAGTGTGGACTGCAATTTGAGAAGTGAGAAACAAATTGACAATGCCATGGTACAAATTACACAATACCCAAGACATACATTTATGAATACTTTTTCCCATACACCTATACCTATACCTAAGCATTTAATGTGGATGGTAAGTGTTGACTATTATATACTAATGTTTGATTGAGACTTCTTAGCATGTGTACTACTTGGTATCTCTATATATACTTCATTTAAGAATGCAACATGTACACTATATATTCATTCCAAAAGAGAACTTCAGAAAGTTTTTAGCTAGCAATTGCAACAATGAAAAAATTGACTAGCTCAACTATCATTCGTGGAAAAAGAAAGCTTGATGTTGAAGACAAAGGTAAAAATGAAACATAAATGTTGTTCTTCATTAAAATTGTAACAAATGTTAACTTACTTTTTTGGTTTGCAATACTCATCTTCTTTGCTTTCCATTTGTCTACTATATCTGCACCAATTTGGTTCCCTATGTCTCTTCTTTTTTTGTCAGTGTATTGAGAGACTGTAAATGCAACACTTTCCTGTACACCTGCAAATGAATATTATTGAGGTCATTAAAAAAATCAAAACACTACTAATATATTTGTTGACATGTTTTGTATATAAAATTTGTTGATACAATGATTTAAAAATAGTATTACTTAATAACATGTGAATATGATTTAAATTGAACTTTTTTAGGAATTTAAGGAGAAGGCTAAACTGAAATTATGCTTTTGATGGCATGTGAAGTGGAAAGAACTCTCAAAAAAATAAATTAATCAATTTCAGTATTACTAATCAATTTCAAACTAAATTATTGAATTGTACAGCAACACTAATCTTAATACTCTTTTTCCACAATTTCCACAATTTCCAACTGTTGGGAGTGAAAATTTTACCACATCAATGATTTTAGTCCGTTAATTTAGGTGATTCTAGCCACTACTCAAAGGCCTGAAACAAAACATTTTGGGGGTGTGTGATAACACATGTTAAATTCTTGAACTCACAGGATATCTTATTTTAAACATTTAAAAACAGAAAAATATTAATTTATTTTATTTGTGAAAGTAATGGACTCAAATGTTATGTAAATAATTAAAGTAACCAAAAGTTAATTTTCATCGCATGTGAACTGCTGTTTTAAACCGGGTAAAAATTGCACAGAGAAATTGAATTATATAGTGGTGATTGCTAGCAGGTTTATTAATAAAAATCATTTTTCTCTTCAATATACATGGAAATCAAAAATAAAATATGAAGAACACATATATATTTACTAAATTTTCGGAAAAAAAAACTATTTTTTCATAAATTTTAATTTTTTGGTTTTTGAAATTACTGCATGTGTATTATATGCTCTAAATCTAATCATAGATTTTGCCCACAAATAATTAAAGAATGAAATAATTGCAAAATTATTAAAAGTATGTTTTAGTGTTTTACCTTACAGATATCGTAGTTTGAAGGTAGATCGCTGCTGTTTCTTGCTTTGTTTCAGATCAATTTGGCCTTTGATGTTTGGTAGAGGAGAAATCGAAGGATAGTAGATAAGGGTTTTGAGTTTGTGTAATCTGGCATGATTTTTTCAACTGATTAGGTCTACGAAGGTAGTATTGTGAAGTGTAGAACGAGTAGGAGAACATAGATCGTGAACAAGAAGTTAGGTGATGTTTGAACAAGAAGTAGGGTGTTTTTGGACTACATATTTCTATGAACTGCTGTTTTGCTAGGCAACATTTAGTAGTTCCGATTGGACTACATAATTTTGTAAAGGTGATGTTTGAACATGGAGATGACTAGAAAATGACATCGAGCTAGAAGCGATAGCTTAAGAAATAATGGCGATGTGTGGATGGTGTAGTTTCCAAAAACAGTAGACAGTGTAGAGAAGAAGATATGCGCAGCCGAGAAGATAGGGTAGCGGCAAAATGGTCTAATTGTTTAGTTGTTTAGGGTGTTTTGTTCTGGCTTGGGTTTTGGGTTGGGCTTTGATAGGCTAGAGTTTATATTTGGGTTATAATTATGCTAGAGTTTGTGGTTGGGCTATGGTTAGCCCATATTTATAATATACTTGATATAAGAGTTTTTTGCACTTTTAGTCCCACGACTATAGTGGCACTGGCAGAATTGATCCACGACTTTTGAACCTTGCAATTTTAGTCCACGACTATTGATTTTTTTGCAAAAATGGTCCTTCCGGTCACTTTTCCGTCAAAATTTCACCGGAAAAAAAAAAAATTCTCCATTTTTAGCCGGGTTAAAATTGACATTTTACTTATCTCAAAAAATTAAAAGAAAAAAATTGATATTTGACTACATACAATATTACTGGGTTACATACTACTGCCCCAGGCGGCGGAGTTCCCGGAGTAGGCAGGACTGTCAGTAAGCGGCGGAGCGGCCGTGGCGTTCCCTGGGCTAGTTGGGTTATCCGGCAGCAGCATTGGAGTGGTACATGTACTCCGCTGCCTGGGGCAGTAGTATGTAGCCCAGTAATATTGTATGTAGTCAAATATAAATTTTTTTTCTTTTAATTTTTTGAGATAAGTAAAATGTCAATTTTAACCCGACTAAAAATAGAGAATTTTTTTTTCCGGTGAAATTTTGACGGAAAAGTGGCCGGAAGGACCATTTTTGCAAAAAAATCAATAGTCGTGGACTAAAATTGCAAGGTTCAAAAGTCGTGAATCAATTCTGTCAGTGTCACTATAGTCGTGGGACTAAAAGTGCAAAAAACTCCTTGATATAATTAATGGAACAAGTGTCATTAATCCGGCAAATTATTGTGTGGACCATGGTCCACACAATGTTATGTGGACCATAACAAAAAGTACATTTTTAATATACTAAATGTATATTATTTTTGTATTGAATGTACATTATACAATATAATGTACACTCAGAACAAAAATAATGTACATCCCATGTATACAATGTGCATTATTTTTGTATTGAATGTGCATTATTTTTGAACTGAATGTACATTATTTTACAGTAGACAAAATATAGTCCAGTTGTCTACAGTTGGACTTTTGTCTACAAGGTCAAACATTGTCTACAGTTGGACTTTTGTTGAAAAAACCAGTCTTTGTTCACGGGCAATTATATGCTGCTTTGTCTAGGGTTAGTAATCCGAATGGTCTTAAGTTACTTATTTGTAGCGACAATGGAGAGTATGTTTCTTCAACGTCGAATGTTGTATACAAAGAGGTCTTTAACAATTTATAAAATTTGTATATTATTAATTATTTGTTAGCAATATATGCCAATATAATTTTTATATTACTATTACTAATAAACTAATAAATAAATAATTGAATATATATATACTATTTTTTATTTTATTTTAGCCGTGCATCGCACGGGTGGAGTACTAGTAAACATAATAGAAGGAAATTAACTCTCTTGGTCTGTCGGACCAATAGATAGCTTTGAAATTTATGGGATCAATTCATACCTTCATGGCCCCAAAATATATTAAGTCCGGTCTTACGATTACCAACTCGAGATCGCAAAAAAGGCTGACCAACTGATCGGCCACTGGCGGCTTCGTATCTACTAGCGCGACCAGATTTTCCCAGCGATCTAAGATCGCGAACAACGAAACAGATGGTGTCACCGGTTCCAGTACTGTGTCG